CCCCAAAACCCCAAAACCCCTTAGTCTTTCTTTTTGTCTCAAATAAATATATGATAAATATAGAAATTGTAATAATATAAATATACAAAGATAATGGTAAATTTAGTCATTACTATACAAATTTGACTATAACTATAGTTGGAATTGAGACATGATAATGATCAGAGCACTCTGAGAATGAATGGCAGGAAACTACTAGAGCTCAGGGATATCAAATGTCAATTAGATGTTATGAAAAATACGAGTGGTTCCGCTTTATTCGAAATAGGAAACACAAAAGTAGTAGCGTTTCTGTAGGGACCTCATTAAGTAATATTGTGTTATTCAATCTAATTTCTAAATAGATAACTTAAAGATAAGCTCAAACTCTTGGAGTGAACTAATTAAATAGGGGCATATTGAATGTTAATTTCTTCGTGACTAATTTTAGTGCTATTGAGCATAGAGCTGATATCAAGAAAGACATGTAAGTGAATATATAAGTCTTACATTATTATTATTGAATACTTATGATTTGATATAGCAAAATGAAGGAGTTTACAAGAATGATAAAATCGGTGTTTGAATAAGTAATTTTACTCGATCTATACCCGAGATCTCAGCTTGATTTGCAAGTATTCGTGCTCGAGGCTGATGGAGGATATCGTTCTGCAGCTTTTAATGCTGTTTCACTAGCTTTAATGGATGGAGGCATAGCAATGAAGGATTTTGTTGTTGCTACTACTGCTGGTTTATTGGGGAATGTTGGTGTTATCGATCTTATTTATTAAGAAGAGAAGAAACAGAATTGTGAATTTGTTTTGGTTCATCTTTAGAAAGCCTAGAAAATAGCATATGTTAATCTAAATTGCAATAAAATAAGACTCAGTGACTTCGAAAAACTTATGAGCATTAGTGTTGATTCTTGTGATAAAATTGCCAACGAGATGAAAACTGCAATTAGAGCTAAACTTGTCAAGAATATCAATAGTTTTTATTTTAAGTGATGACATTAGAGATTTCTAAACTCTAAATGCAGATTGTAATCACTTTTAATTAGCAATTAATTATGGAATAAATAGGTTAACTTGTATTTATTAATTTATTGCTGTATTTCATTCTGATTTCGAATTCCTGGGGTTTTGGGGTTTTGGGGGTTTTGGGG